TCCTGCCTGACGACGTCTAGGTCCTTGCCTGGAAAGACGAGTTCCACTGCTGCCCACTCCTTTTGGTGTGGCAGGGATGGAAGAAAAGAAAAGGAATTGTTCGCCTCCCAGTTCTTTTCTCTGCGTCAACAGGCAATATAGTTGAAAGCTTACAGCCAATTAGCCTCAGACAGGGGTGTGTTTGAGGGCTGGTGCCATCCTTGTCAGCAGGGTGGCCTTGGGTAAGTCCACTCAGCGTTTCTGACCCTCAGTGTCCTCCTCTGGAAAATGGGACTACCAAAAGCACTCGCCTCGTGGAGTGGGAGAGAATGAAATGAGATTGTGTGGTGTAAGATTCTCAGTACGTGATCCGACACGCATGAAACAGCAGCTCTGGGTATTGTAGAGCATCTCTCCTCCCCACCAGGAATACGAGTGGCTGGCAGGCTCTCAGCCTGAGAACATCAGGGAGAAAGGAGGGAATTGCACATCGCATAACAGGGTGCTGAAAAGTGTGAGCAGCTGGTGCAGCCAGGGGGGTGAGGCTTTCTGCATCTATTTCTACGCTCTTCTTACATCTCATCAGACAAGTGATGGGAAGTAACCACTTTCTGACCTGGAACCCTTCCCATCTTAAATGCAAGGCCTTCATGTTGATATTTCCCAAAATGCTCTGGAAAATNATGAAAGAGTGTGGAACATGGGAGAATGACCTTTGCTTCTCCCATCATCTTCCAACCTGCCAACCTCCCACTGGAGGCTCCCATTGGCTGAACCTAACCAGAAGCAAAGGACACTGGGAACTGTAGTTTGCAGTAGTCGGCCATCTGCTATATAGAAGTGAGCCGAGAAAGGGCAGGAAATGGATTTGAGAGAAACAGGCAAGTGACTGGCACAAAAACAGCGAAAGATCCCTCTCTGTGGTCTGTCGCCTTTAACGTCCTTCTTGGTTTCCAACATGGCGGCCAAAGGAGGAAAACTCAGATGGAGAAAGAAACAGGCACCTTCTGCCACTTTGCTTCCCAGCATGGTCCTGCCCTCCACCAAAAAGTCTCCATGTGGCCCCCTTACAGTCCCAGTCCGGATCAATGGCCTGGCCACTGCTCCCCTTTCCGCTCCCATAAAATCCACCGGACCTGCCGGTAACCAAAGGCCTGGCTTTGGCTGTGTCCCAAGTACATGGAGGAGACTCAGCTCCACTCAGAGCGCTGGGCAGTGCCAGGGAACAGAAACCAAGCCCTTTTCCTGTCTAGAGTTTGATGAATTCTCTGACAGTTGCTTCTACCCTCAGAATTAAAAAATAATGTTTGCGTAGCCTAGCTTATTAGCATGCTCCCCTGGTGACAGAGCCCCCTCCGCCTCTCTGTGGCAAGCCTGCCTTCCCCGAGTTCCAGCCAGAGCGCTTGCTAACATGCTCTCTGAAAGTCATTTTTGGACCCGAAATGAGGAAGTGGGGCCAAAGCTCACTTTGTGGAAAGATTTTATTTCCATCGGAGTCCACTTCAAGGAACAGCAAGGGATTAGTTGGGTTAGCTTTTTTACCTCCAAAAAAATGGCTGGGCCTTTTCGCAGTAGATTTATGGAATTGCTCGGCAATCCTGTTTCAGACTACGGAGACCAGGAGCCCTTTCTTTGGGGATGTGTCCAAGTTGGCTGGCACCACTAAATATAGGCTAAATGGAAAGCATTCAGCAAGCTTGGCTTGGGGCGATCTATCCCCAGGCAGGTATACAGAGGTTGGTGCAAATGCCACAGGGGGCCAGTGAACTTCCCAATATGCTGGTCAAATTGGAGACAATGAGAGGAACTCATTCAACCTCAGGTCATAAGACTGATAAGGACACTAAAAATTGAGAGGTTTCTCCCAATTATGTTCCTGAGATCAGTGGCTCCCAAACTTCAATGTGCACTCAACCCCCATAATTTGGGATAAAAGAGAGGTCAAATGTCCAAAGCGATCTCAGGGGATGCTACTGGCCTCCCATGGCACACTTGAACAGCTGACATCCTCTTCTGGGAATGTCCTAATGCACGCGGAGCTCGCCATGACAACTATGGCCATGGCTGTATTTATATTCAAACCAGAGACAGGACAGCCTCACACTTAGCATTAACACCTGCATTAGAGTTGGACAACCCTGGGTTCGACTCTCAGCTCTACCACTCCCTGAGCTGTGCAGCTGTGGGCAAGGCACTTGGCCTGATGGAACTTACTTTCCTCATGGGTAGGATGGGCAGAAGACCGACTTCACTGGGTTGTTGTGGGATTCAACAAGATAACGTACCTAAGGCATCCTATATA